CGTGATGAGTTAAAGAGACAAGAAATGTTTGGCACGGTATCAGAGAAGCATGGGAAAACATTATTTACATATTCTTTTTTATTTTGTGAAGAATGGGAAAGGGTGTATGTTTCAGCTTAAGCCAGAAGACAGGACAGTACACTCAATCACTGGACAATAAAATCAAATTAATTGACTGGGACTGTTATGTATTAATATCAAGAGTTAATGTGTTTTAATTTAAACGTGTCTCCAACTGTTTTGGAGGGAAAGTTAAGTTTGAGTTTGAGCGGGAAAACACCGTTTGATTTGATTGGTCGCCGCCTAGAGGCAGCAAGTATAAATAGCCGTCATTCTGTCAGTTAAGCCAGTTCTGTTTTCTGATGCAATAAATAGTGTTGCATTAAACCGGTCTGGTCAATACCTCCAAAAAACCCACTATACAATAGGGACCACTTAAGGGTCAAAAATAGCAGCAAATGTTGGGTTTTGGGTCTTCCGAAGGCAACAGATTTACAAATATCAAAACAGATATTCCCATGGTTCCCTGTTTCTCTCCTCCTGCCCCCCATCACATCCTATAATAGGCACATCTCAAGAATATGTTAAAGTGGATGCAAAAAAATAACCCCTATGAAACAAAGAGACTGGTCATGGGCAAGTCACCATACCTCTAATAAGGAGGTAAGACAGCCTTGCAACTGTTCCATGCCTCTTACCTGGAAACATTAGTTGCAGCTCTCTGTATATTAACTGCAGAGGAAACATATAAAAAAGCAAAAGATCCAGTTTGACCATTCCAAGGCAGATGGGAATGATGTGGTATGATAGGCCCTACATATAGTTACTGTTCATCACCTTTTGTTGCTCAGATACACCTATCTTCCTGGCTAGCTTTGACTCTGGGAGTGGGCTTCCCTGCAGTGGGCAGGAGGCACATCAGAAGTAGCAGAAGAGGGTTCAGCACACTTTACTTCCCCAAGTCCCATTTTCTATGTAAGAGACTCCCAAGGTTTCTCTCAGAGGACACAATGTGGGTTTTTAAATCCAATGGATATGCTAGTAACCACTGTCTGATGCAGTTTTCAGGGTGTACAAATAGTGCGAGTGTGTGCATGTGAACGTGTGTGTGTGTGTGTGTGTGTGTGTGTAGGGGGGAGTATATAGGCCTATAGGAGAAGAGAGATTTGCCTTCTTTTCTACCCTTCCTCCTATGGAATATGAATATATTTTCCCACTTTCAGAAAACTGGAGCCATGGAATCTACATGCTGCCTTTGCCGGTGGATGGGGATGCTAAAGGGGAGGGGGAGGGGAGGGCTCTCACAGCAGGGGGGAAGTTGACTTTTCTTTATTCATACAGGTTCTTTTCCATGCAGAGTTGAAATTATGCCTGATAAAAGGAGTGTCGTGGCTGTTTCAATTCTTCCCAAACCTCCTGGCTTCCTCCCAATTAAATGAGGTTTGTCAAAGCCACAGGGCTCTGGTGCCGCCTGAGAGGCAGACAAGCATTTCCTGCAGTGACATCTGAAATCCCTGAAGGAGGAGGAGATGAAAGTGCTCCTGCCAAAAGGCAGGAAAAGAAGGAGCGAGAGAGGGTGTGAAAAAAAAAGGAGGTAGAGAGAGACAGAAAGGCAGAAAGGGGAAGGTGGGGAAGGGACGGAGGTGACAGAATGGGCCCACTACATGTTGCTCTCCTGGAGAAGGATAGAAGGAAAGTCAGTCTGTTAGCGAGCTGATACTTCACTTCGGCTGCTGCCAGTGGGACCTCCTTGGACAGGAAGCTGGATGATCTTATCATGGCAACCAATCTATTGAGGAGTAAATCAAAATCACCCTGACAGAAATGTTGTTCCAAGTCCCAATTCAATGAACTTATATTCATGGATGATTCACCGGGGTTGCAGCAGTACAGGTGGTCCTCGACTTATAACTGTAATTGAGCCTACAGTTTGGCTTGTATGTCAAGATGGTCATAAAGATCATCATGTGAACACACCTGATATTATGACCTCTTTACAGCAGTCATTAAGCAAATGTGGCAGCAGTCAGTGATTAAATGAATGCCACAGTTGTAAAGTGAAGGCCATGGTCATGAAGAAAATGCCATAGTCATTAAGTGAATGCTACAGTGGTTAAGCAAAGCCGTTGATCGCTATATAGGGCGTTTTTTGCCAGAAACCGGAAGTAAATGCCTGTTTCCAGTAAAAATGTCATAAATTACAGTCACGTTAAATGTGAGATGCCACAAATGGTTGTAAGCGTGGGTTGATCTCCAAAGGCCTAAAATGAAGTCATGTGACTGCAGGGAAAGAGGCAGAGATCGGAGCGTCGAATCTAACATTGCATGGGATTTTCATCGGTTGCATATCCAACAGAAAGCCCAAAGTTGCAATTGTTGTTCCTATATTCTTTGTTGCACTGTATCTATTCTTATGCCTGACTGCTGATGAAAAACAATTGTATAGTATTTTTTCACCGTTTTAGTCTCTAGATAATAAACTACACATTAAGTCTGTTGTACTCAACGGAACTGAGTTGCAAGTAGCTTTTTTGAGGTCCTTTGTATCTTTTAACAGTTGGTAAATGACCAGTAGTAAATCATGGACTGTGTGTAATAACAACAGCAGCAGCAACAACAACAACAATAACATTTCTAGATTATTTCCATTCATGCTTTTAAAGTTATGAAAGTCATTCCAGAGTGCCTGGAATTTGACCTGCTGAGAACAACAACAAAAAAATTGCCCTCTCTATATCTAATGGGGTCCTGCCAATAAACCTCTGTTTACTAAAAAACATTTTTGAAGGACGAAGGGGGGAAGGTGACAGAATTATCCTGTTATCTTCATCTAAAGAGGATCATCAGATTGGGAAGAGAATGTGAAAAAAATGTTTAAAAAAAGCATTTCTGTGTAGGCTTTCCCCCCATTTAGATCAAAGACTGGGTTCCATGGAGTCATCTGCCTCTGTAATGCCTGGTTTACTCTTTGCAAAGTATCATTCAGGCATGACATGGGCAGTCCATCTATACTCTGGTCTGATGGAAGACCATAGACATGCTATTCAATATGCATTTGGATGTCTTTGAAAAAAACAGTCAATATGGTAAAGGGATCTGTTGCTAGTTCTATTCCAAGTGAGCACATGAAAGGGTTTCTCTGCTTTTGCTAACAACATGCTTTGCATGGCTACATTTATGACTTTGGAAGTAGGTGATATTCAAGGGCAAGGGTCCTCAACCTTAACAACTTTAAGACTTGTGGACTTCAACTCCCAGAATTCCTCTGGCTGAGGAATTCTGGGAGTTGAAGTCCACAAGTTTAAAGTCGCTAAGGTTGAGGACCCCTGTTCTTGGGATTACACTTCATCCCCATTTTGCACTCTTCCTTTGGGGAGAAGGGCAGTGAATTGCAGCCACTCTTTGCCAGCTCTGCATTCCCTTGCAGTATTTGGGGAAATCTGGGACTTGGGTGCAATTAGCAAGAATGCTGCCCTTCCAGCTCAGGTGAAAGACAGAAAAGTAAAAGTTTAGAATTGACCAGACTTCTGGAAGACTGGTAAACCTCTGTTCAAAAAATAGCTCAGGTGACAAATTGATAGGCTGTATGTCAGCTGAGAATTCTGTTCCCCACCTCCTCTCTGTCCTACCAATCTGTCACCTAAGTATTTTTGAACAGATTTGCTGTTTTTCCTGTCACTTTAACTTCCAGAAGAATAGTTGGTCAGTGTTCAGAAACAACCACTTGGACCACATTTTAAGGCAGCGGTCCCCAACCTATGGGCCATGGCCCACTATTTGCATGTGTGCGCATGCGTGCATAAAGGTGCCTGTCCCTCCCTTTCCCACTGTGCCGCCAACCCAGAAAGGTTGGCAAACCCTGCTTTAAGGAGAGTGTATGTTGGTGGTTTTTCCCTCTAGCAGCTGATACTGGTTGAGGAGCGAAACAAAGTCAGGGCAATCAGACTTTGATAAAGCCAATTTGCTCTAGTGGTTAAGGCACCAGGCTAGCAAGCACACAAGCATGAGTTCAAATCCTACCTTAGTCATGAAAGCCACTTGGGCAAATTTGGGCTGGTCACTTTTTCTCAGCCCAACCCACCTCACAGGATTGTTGTTGTGGGGAAAATAGAAGGAAGAAAGTGTGTTGAATATGCTGGCTGCCTTGAATTATTTGTACAAATAATAAAGGTGGAATGCAAACAAAAACAAACAAATAAACAAACTCTCAGTTGCAGCCTTTAATTGTTCTGCAGTAAACAAACTTCTCCCTAAAATTAGATTGGACTTCCAGAACACCCTGAAGATGTGGCTTTGCCTTTGTGCCTGGGGGATCATGTGCTAGTGGTGTAAAACCTGGAAAACAATTACATTGTTTGTAAAATGGCTTGTATTCTCTGTTTATGGTTTTTAATTGTTTTAATGAGTTTAAATGTCTTTTGTTTTCATTGTTTTGGTGTTTGTATTTTTACTGTGGAGGCTACCAGAGTCACATATGTGAAATCAGCATCTATACAAATTGAACAAATAAATAACTATATGTACAGGACAATTTGCAGGCCTTGTTACTAAAGCAAATCACAAGTTCAGCCAGCAGGGTAGCACAAACTATTCTGGCATATTTTTATGCTTACTCAAGGATTGGAAGAATGCACATTGATGCAGATATACAATGGATGAAAGTGCTGTTGCAATCCAAGAGGCAGAGAAAAATAAGAGTTTGGAAATGCTTATTTGATTTCTATGCAAAGAACAGAGGTGTGCTCCCACAACCTACACTTGTTCATGCACATGAGCTGCTTCACTAGATACATACATGATGCTATTTTTTTTCAGGGTGTTTTGAGGTAGCAACTTTGGAGTTTCTGTTGTCACTAGTGATTTTCCAGAAGACATTCACCTGATGTCTATCTCTTCTTCTAAAAGAGAAATGGTTCTCACAGTGCACTGATTTTCAGCAATTAAAAAGCCAATATGCAAAAGTTGAAATCAATTTTGTACTGCTATTCCCTAGTTATGTTGTGCAGAGGTGTGGTGACTAGAGATTCAGCCTCTCCTCACCCCAACTTGCAAATTAAAAAAAATGTCAAAGGAGTTAAACAAAATCAAACTTTAGTTCAATTTTTTTAAAAGTTATAATACAGCAATTTTAATGTGGAAGAAGATAACTATAAAACTGCAGAGAGCACAGTGAGGATAATTCCATACTGCCTCTTAAGTTGCTTGTTTCCCATTTTGTCCCTGGCTGTTTCTTAACCAAACTCAGAAATTCCAGCCAGTGTTTGTAGGTTGGCGATGGGATTGAGCTAGAGATTTGCTGAGATTATAGCTCTGCAGGACCTGATTGATCATTGTCCTTCCTATTTATTCAGGGAAGAAAAATCTCACTAGACAGCTTTATCAGTGCCTGCCTTTACATTTAGGGATGGTTCCCTCATCATTTGTATACATATCCGTGCTGGCAAACTTATTTCGCGCGCGCCACAGGCGGCACGCAGAGCCGTCTCTGTTGGCACGCGCTCCATTGCTGGGCCGAGCTGCTACCACCTCCTCTCCGCGCATGCGCAGTCTGGAAATAGGCGAGAGGCTAGAAAAGGAGGAACTTTTGGCGGGAGCAGCATTTGATGCAGGCAGCGAGCACGAGCCGACAGTAGTGAGTTTCAGCGGCCGGCCACGCAGGGGAGGAGGACGAGGGGCGACGGTGGTGGTGAAAGGCGCGGACGGGGTGTGACTACCTATTTAAGCTACCTTGCCTCGGCCTCGTGGGGCGAGGGCGGCGGCGGCGAAAGGCGCGGGGGGCGGCCTACCTGCTTAAGTTGCCTTGCGCCTCGGCCTCGTGGGGCAATGGCGACGGCGGTCCGGGCAGGCTCTGGTAAGCCAGGCAAGGCCGAGCAGCCAGCCAGCCAGCGGGAGCAGGGTTGGATGGAGGGATCGGGATCTGGCCCCTTTTTCCTCGTCCAGGGGCCGGGGAGAAGTTGCCTGCCCAGCCTCGTGCGCCTTACCATCGAATGGCTGGGAGAAGCGACGGGAGGAAAAAAAAGGCGACTCCCCCTCGGAAACGATCGTATGTGGGCCACATGCCTAGAAGCCTTGATCTGCTGAGGAGCAATTTCCTGCGCTTGCACTGGGGTGGAGAGGAGGCCTTCTCGGCTCTTGGCAAAAGCCGGGGTGGTGATGGTGGTGGGGTCGTCGCGGGAGGCGACATGGAAACCCATATTGCTCAAGTTTTGTCTGCCAGGCAGGAGAGAGAGAGAGAGAGAGAGAGCTCCCTCCATGCTTGCCTTAGAGAAAAATGGGAGGGGAGCGCAGGGTTTCTGGGAAGTCCCCTCCAGGTTCTCGCAAAGGGAAAGAATTAGGCCTCCTTTGCAGGTTGCACGGCGGTTGGGGGAAAAACAAAGCCGCGGACCTGAAGGCTTGACCGTCCACCACCACCACCACCATCCCCTTCCCCCGAAAACTCTCCCTGCGCCGTTGCCCTTTCATCTGCCGCCGCCGTTCCTGATTGCAGGATTTTTGTCTTCGCCGGGTGGGTCTGACGACGAGAAAGGCCCTATCCTGGGTGATAGTCAGAAGCGTGTGCATTCCTGGAGGGTGAGGCCATGGGGAAGGATCCGCAGATCGGCGGGGGCGGGAGCGGGATGAGGCGCCCGAAGGAAGAGAAGGGGGGCCGAGAGGCCCCTGAAAGGTTTGCGCTCAAGAGCTGAGATTCCCGAGATAGCGCCCGTATTTGAGTGGACGCGTTTCACAACTAATCTGGAGGAAAGGAAAGTCACTGTTCTGGTAAAAGGAAGAAAAGGGCTTTTTATCTAACGTTGCATGGAATTTTTCATCCATTGCATATCCAACAGAAAGCCCAAAGTTGCAATTGTTGTTCCTATATTCTTTGCTGCACTGTATCTATTCTTATGCCTGACTGCTGATGAAAAACAATTGTATAGTATTTTTTCACCGTTTTAGTCTCTAGATAATAAACTCCACATTAAGTCTGTTGAACTCAACGGAACTTCATTTTAAGTAAAAAAATAAGTTTGATTATGGTGCAATCTAAAACACATTTGGTAAGGGAACAGTTTTATTAAAGTATATCTTTCTGTAAAAATGTGTATTTCAACACACTTCCCAAATATGTAAATTTATTGGGAGATTGAACTGTCCCAGAATATAAAGTTGAATAAATGGAAAGACTGTAAATGAAAATGTGTTACTACATATACACTAATATTATATAGTCCAAACCGTTTTTGTTAGGCAGCACTGTTCAGTTTTTGAGACTTTCAAAATTTACTACAGTCCATGAAAAGACTTTTAAATTAAGGCTTACTAAATCTGGACTAAAACGATATGCAACTGCTAATAGTTTTTGATCTAGTGGCACTGTTTTAAATTGTATTTCCCCTGCATCAAATGTGGATACCACCAATGGACTTTGAGAGGATATTGTGTTGAAATAATTTGTACATTTATCTTCAAATATGCAATTTGCATGGGAGATATGTTATGTTTCACATTTTAGTTAAATACATACTGGTATGTAATATTCAAACATTCTATTTGAATCTCATCTATTATTTTTATAAATAATTCAAGGTAGTGAACACATCCAACGCATCTTCTCCCATTTTCCCCACAACAATTCTGTGAGATGAAGTGGGTTGAGACAGTGTGACTGGCCCAAGGTCACAAATATATAATAAGTTTCCTATTGTTGGTACACCCCTCTACTTAAGCAGAGAGAGAAAAGTGCTAATCTTGGTAAAAAGAAATACAGTAATTTGGATCATAAAGAAAAAAGGAATGTTAAGTGATAGAGCCAATTTGGTATAGTGGTTAAGTTACCAGGCTAGAAACTGACAGGCAAAAACCATGAGTTCTAATCCCACCTTTGGCACAAAGGCAGCCTGTTCTTGACAATAATGACAAAATTGGTTTTGCACCACCATGGCAAACTGCTATATCAGATAAACTTCAGATTTATTGGCTGTATGATTGCTGAAACGTGGTCATTCTTCTTGGAAAGCAGTTACAGAAATTCAAATGATTACCATTTAAATAAATGATTGTTTCTCTGCTTCCTTCACAGAAGGTCATTATTCATAACTAAAAGCTAGAACTAATTTAAGAAATCTGATAATGTAAACGTATTAGGAATATTTCTTGTCCAATTTAATTCTCTCCCAGAATCACAGCTACTTTTAGTACATGCTAAATGGTTTTATATATTTGAAAATCCCTTGGTGTATGTTTCTCCCCTGCCCCTCCCCAAGTCTGCTACAGTTTTAATTTTTTCAACAGATGTATGAATTTTTATAACAGGAAACAAGAAACCTGTAATTCTCTAGATATTGTTGGCTTCTGATTCCATCAACCATAAACAGACTGAATCATGGGAGTGATAGTCCAACAACATTGAAAAAAAATCATACCTGCTTTACAGACTTCCTGGCATGCTGTTCTTATCCAAGTAGCCCTTTGTAATGTTTGGAGGAGAGAATACATTAAGGGTTAAAAAGTCAAAGTTCATAAATTGTACATTCGGGTAGAAATTTATTTTGCTCAGAATTGGGACTTGTGCACTAATTCCATGCTGATGCACTCAGCTTATTTCCTATGTTTCTTTTTGCAAACTGAGAAGACAAAACAAAATGTCAGAACAAATGGTTTGCATAATGAACCCTGGCTTGTGAATAAATAAATGGGGTGTGTGCCTTGGAGTTTAGTGTTGATTCCTTGTGACTGCTTGAAGTTTTTTTGGCAGGATTTTAGAAATAATTTTTCTCTTGCCTCTTTCCTAGGGCTGAGAGAGGGTGGCTGGCTTTGTGCCTAAAGTGGGACTAGAATTCATGGTCTCCCAGTTTCTAGTCCAGTACCTTAATTGCTACATCAACCCAGCAACTGCACTGGAATATAGTAGAATTAGACTTACATTGGTTTACAGTGTTTTACTGCATTTTTGTTTTTTATTATTATGTAAATCACTGCTACTATTTTCTTAGTCTGGGGCATATTAAATAATAAGTAAATAAGGTGCACAAATTATAAACTCCCATATTCTGATGTGGCTCAGCAGTGCCCCCCAACACATTTGGAAATGTGAAATCTTGCCAACAAGCTTGAATAAGACATCCTGGTGTTTGTTTCTGAAGATAGATCCAGATGATATTTTCCTTTTTTACATACTAAGAATTTTTAGCACCCTCTTTAGAGATCTGAGCTAAAGACCATTAAGAAGCAGAGTTCAACCACTCTGTTTTGATGACTCAGTTTTGTATAAATCTGCTTAGAAATGAGTGTCATTATGTTTGATAGGACTTACAAATAGAACCTAAATAGCAGTGTTGCTTAATTTCACTGTAAAAGAATGGAAGAGGAAAAATGTGTTAAGCTTTATTGAATAAAGCACTATTGGCTGCATTCATAGAATACACTAAGCCAGTGATGGCGAACCTTTTAGAGATTGAGTGCCCCAAAACCAGTCCCCCTGCCTACCCCCGCTCTGCCTGCTCCGCCCCAGCCCACCCCCACCCTACTTTCAGGGCCTCTCACTGCCTCCATGGCCCGCCGCAGATCGCCCAGGTGGCCCAGCAGCGCCATGGTGGCCACGCCCTCTGCCCGCACCCTGTAGCATCAACCGTGCGACAGGGCACGAGGGCAGAGTCACTGCCTGGGTGCCATGTCCTTGGCTGCGCTGCTCTGCGCAGGCTGCACTTGGGGTGACTCTCCTTGGGGGGGCTGCTGGTTAGGAGGGGGCCGCAGGGGGAGGTGGGGCTAGGGCAACGGCATGAGTGCCCACAGAGGGCTCTGAGTGCCACCTCTGGCACACGTGCCATAGGTTCGCCACCACTGCACTAAGCCATAAACAATGTATCACAAACTGCAGTTATTAGGGATCATGTGTTGCATAAAGTCAAATCCAATCAGATTAACACTGAAACTGCAAAGTATCTTGAAGTATGCAGGAGCATTGTATGAGGCATTTTTCTCCAAATCATTAAAGCAGTTATGGGGGTGACATGATAGCAGTGTTCCAATATCTCGGGTTGCCCCAAAGAAGAGGGAGTCAAGCAATTCTCCAAATCGCCTGAAGGCAGGACAAGAAGCAACGGATGGAAACTAACCAAAGAGAGAAACAACCTAGAACTAGAAGAACCTAGAAATTTCCTGACACAATAATCAGTGGAACAACCTGCCTCCAGAAGCTGTGAATGCTCCAAAGCTGGAAGCATTTAAGAAGAGTCTGGACAGCCATTGGTCTGAAATGGTATAGGGTTTCCTGCTGAGCAGAGGGTTGGACTAGATGACCTCCAAGGTCCCTTCCAACATCATCATCATCATTTTGCAGAGTTCATGCAACTACTTCAAAAGCTGTTTCTGACTCAAGATGCACACAGATAAAAGCACAGTTGGTGGCAAAATTGTCCTGTTTGATTAGAGAAAACACAATAACAATATTTGTTAGTGACTGCAAACCCTATATGGACTATTTGCTAAAAGTGAGAAAAAAACATGAAGTTGTGACTTAGGGTTTTGATGATAAGGGTAAAATATAGGGAAAAGGGAGCCATGATGTAACTATAGAAAGACAGGATGAAATACAAATGACAATTTATAGCATTTTATTTTTTATTTATATTTTCTTTCAGTGGGAGCAGCATTTGCTGCAGACAGTGAGCGAGCAAGCACAAGCCGGAGCAGAGAGAGTGAGCAAGAGCCAACAGTGGTAAGTTTCAGTGGCCGGCCACGCAGGGGAGGAGGAGGATGAGGGGGGGTGGGGGCAGCGGTGGTGGTGAAAGGTGCGGAGGGGGGCTACCTGCTTAAGCTGCATTGCCTGGGCTTCGGCCTCGTGGGATGAGGGCAGCAGTAGCGGCGCAGGGGGTGGCTTACTTGCTTAAGCTGCCTTGCCTCGGTCTTGTGGGGCAATGGAGGTGGAGGTGGTGGCGGCCTGGGCCAGGCAGGGCCGAGGAACCAGCCAGCCAGCAAGAGTAGGGTTGGGTGGAGGGATCGGGATCTGGCCCCTTTTTCGTCGGCTGGGGAGAAGTTGTCTGCCCAGCCTCGTGTGCAGCAGAGGTGGTGGCGGCGGCCCGGACAGACTCTGATTAAGCTCAGCAGGGCAGAGCAGGGACGAGCGCTTCCCCGTCTGCATCTGGGACGCTGTCTTGCAGGTATTGAAGGGCTACGACTGGAGCCTGGTGCCCATGCCAGTGTGGGCCCATGGGGCGCTGAAGGCCAAGCCGCATGTCAAGCGGCCCATGAACGCTTTCATGGTCTGGGCGCAGGTGGCGTGCAAGAAGCTGGCCGACCAGTACCCGCACCTGCACAACCCAGAGCTCAGCAAGACGTTGGGCAGGCTCTGGCGGTGAGTGGGGTGGTGTGGGCGGCGGCCATGGGGGGAGCAGCTCACTTCGGTTGGTCAGTCTGTCTCCCAGTGGCTGACCCTCTTCCCAGGCTCATAATTCAGTGTGATGCAGATGACGGCTTCTCCAACTCGGGGGATCAACCAGCTGGTTGCGTTTGGGCACCGGAGCCCCCAACGGCTTGCGGTCAGCCTGGCTGGGTGCTAGTCCTTCCGCCGCTGTGCAGGGACTTTCTCTGTCCAAAGCTGTGAGCTTTGAGAATTGGAGCTAACCAAACGGCTCCCTTTGGACTGATTTTCCAGCTTCGTTGCCAGCGAGCGGCTGGGGGTATGGCTCGCTGTGGATGATGGGAGCTCCATCCTCCCTTGTTGGGAAAGATGTGTGTCAGGCTGGCGTGGAAGGTTTTTAAGCTCAGGGGGGGCAAGCTCCTGGGTTCAGTAGGTGGAAGAAGTGGCAGAGCGGCCGCTCATATGCGGCATTTGATTTAAGGCCGCATGTGCTGAGACGATCAAACTGATTAGACTTTCATCTACCAAGATATATACAATCTTAGGTTGTATAAATAGGCATAGCATAGCATCAAGATCACGTGAACTATTAGTACTGCTTTATAAAACCCTAGTAAGACCACACCTGGAATACTGCAGGCATTTTTGGTCACCGTATCACAAAAAAGATGTTGAGAGTTTGGAAAAAATTCAGAGAAGAGCAACTAAGACAGGGGTGTAAAAACTCAATTTCACTGAGGGCCGCATCAGCATTGTGGTTGCCCTTGGGGGGCTGGGTGGGTGTGGCCAGAGGGTGCAGCCTTCTGGGTGGAGTGGGTGTGCCTACTGGGTGGGCGTGGCCAGTCCATCATTCGCATCAAGGGTGCCTGTGGGGGCCTGGGCAGGAGTGGGATAGATCTGAGGGTCTCTGGTGAAGGGGGTGGGACCGGGGCAAGTGCCAAGGCATGGTCCACTGGGGCAAGTGCCAAGATGGCCACCACAAAATTGTACATTGGCTCCCGGCTGGCCAGGGCCAAGGCAGTGGGGGCCATTCCCTCACTGTTTCCAGGATGGCTTTGCAGGCCACATGAAACCACTTCACGGGCCGCATCCAACCCCCGGGCCTTGTGTTTGACATGTCTGAACTAAGATGATCAAAGGCGTGGAGACTAAAACATACAAAAAACGGCTGCAGACTTGGGTCTGGCTAGTCTAAAGAAAAGAAGAAATAGGGTAGACATGATAGCAGTATTCCAGTATTTGAGAGGCTGCCACAAAAAAGAGGGGGGTCACATTATTCACCAAAGCACCAGAGGGCAGGACAAGAAACTACGGTTGGAAATTGATCAAAGAGAGAAGCAACCTGGAATTAAGGAGAAACTTCCTGACAGTGAAGACAATTTGCCTCCATCACTGTAGATTTTCAAGAAGAGACTAGACAGTCAATTGTCTGAGATGGTATAGGCTCCCCTGCTTTAGCAGGGGGCTGGACTAGAAGACCTTCAAGGTCCCTTCCATCTCTATTCTATTCTAGTGTACCTGGATGACAGCAAAGCCTTTGACCAAATTCTAGATTTGAATCCAGAATATCTGTTGGGCATCAGTTTTTCCACAACATGGTTAGTGTATAGGGATTTTCTGGAGAGAGCAGCAAGAGTAGTCAAATAGAGAAGATAATTGTAACTGGAACGAACATCTAGAACAGCTCTAGAAAATTGGGAGAATATGATTATTAATCTTAACTACATCTGAGTAGATGAGAAAAGAAAGATCAGTTGAATGGAGGACAAGGTTTCTCTGACTTCTGCTGTTGCACCATTTAATGCCAGGCTGCAGTGCAAAAAAAAAAAAAAAGGGTTTGCATTTATCTTTCCACTCCATGCCCATTCAGTCTTCCTAAGAGTGTGTGAGGAACCTTTTCTTTTCGAGTTAAATTCTAAGCATGTTGGTGGAGGGATGTGAGATGGGAAGGCTGGCAGGTTTTGCAAAAGGAGCAGAGGAATAATAAGGCTGCAGACAAGAGCTGAGCTGCATGCCATTTTGAAATCCATGAGGTGTTAGGGGCAGCGGATGCATCTGGGAATTGCTGGTGTGGGGAACTCGAGGAGAAAATGCCAGCTCCCTTGCTCCCAGCAGTTTCCTGAGGTGACATGACAAATGGGCTGCTGTGAAAGAAAGAGGAGAGGTAACAAATCAATGGAAGTTCTGAACAAAACCTGAGCATATGGAAACTCTGGGACTAGTCTGCCAAGAATTGGGTTAAATCTGACTTCCTTGTAGTTGTTTAGATTTCTTTGCGTAATGTGAAAAACCAACACACTTTTCTTTTTTAATTCTATAGGTTATTCTTTATTAGTTCAATGCTGTGATAAAAAGAATCATTGAATCATCGAATTAGAAGGCATAACCATACCATCCTCGATAAATGATCGTTCAGCCTCCATTTTAAAATCTCCAATGAAGGAGAGGAAACCACTCCATTCATACTGCCAAGAAGTTTTCCTAATGTCTAAGTCTAATCTTTATCTACATCCTTGAAGTTTCATCCAAGTACGGTAGTTGTAACTCTTACTATCTGGAGCAAGTGAGGACAAGTCCAAACCCTCTACAACAAGGGTGTCAAAATGCCAGCCCTCGGGCCGGATGCATCATAGTGAAACTGCGCCCACCACATTGCCTGCAATTGCAAAAAAAGTCACGATACATCACGACACGTCACGTGACGTTGCGAGTTTGATACCCCTGTTCTACAATATGACAACCCTTCAGGTATTTGAAGACAGCTACTACATCTCCTCTCAACCGTGTCTTCTGCAAGAAGAGCATACATAGGTTTTTAAATAGTGCCTCATAGGACTTGCTTTGCTCCAATTAATCAATGTCCTTTTCAAAATGGAAGAAAAAACCCAATTGGCAAAATCTCCTGAAAAGCAAGCTTGGAATCTTCCAAAATCCCAGGCAGGGCTTCTATCCTAGCCCTGACCTGGAAACTAAAAAATTCTACATCTGTTTCTTAATTTTGCTTGGGCAGGTCCTTTTAAAAGACATTTTGGAAGACATTTCACTGAAACGAGAAGACACACAACAATTTATATATTTATAATTTATTAATTATTAATTTATATTTATTAATTATTTATAATTAATTTATATTTAAATTAATTAAACATAACTAAATGAAAGATAGGGGAGTGAAGTATGTTGCAAGTAAAAACTCCCCAAAGCTGAATTCTGCAAGTGTTCAAGTCATTTATACTATTATTCATTTGCATATTTAGTGGCTGCCTTATTTACCATCTCTTCAATGAAAAATACATATAAATAAATCAGTAGACACTTCTGCATCACAAAAGTGCTTAGCCTTTGGGGCTGTAAGGGAGGAATGTTTCCATTTATACTGAATGAAGACCTCAAAGGCAGAAAGGACAGGTGCTCTTAAGTGCAACCCTTCCAAGGAGCAGCAGTGCTTTGACGAACCTCTGGACCGGCTTGCATGTACTGGAGTTGTGAATGCTTCAGCATATGTTGCAATTGTGGCTTGGGCTATTTCGAGAAAACAGTGATAGATGCCCTGAGAGTTGGGAAGAGTTGAGTCATAATCTTGAGAAAGGAGGGAGAATAGCGCTCTGGTTTTAGAAAGCTTAACAAAAGGCCTTTCAGTGGTGCCCAGGAAGGCTCAAACCCTAATTTCTTTGTGGGGGAGGCCCAGGAAAACATCTAAGCATTCTGCTCTTCAGAATCTCAACAGGGGGATAGTTAGGGATGGACAATAGAAAACAAATAGTCCATCACTGACCTGGAAACCCACCAGCCTTATTTAGGTGTTTTTTGCTCAAGGGGCAAGTGTGGAGGAAGACTGAGCTATAGTATTATGGATGTCATAGGCATTCTGTCCCTACTGTCCTCATGTTCGGGGCTATCATTTGCAGAAAGTAGCCTTTGAGCATAGCATTTTACATGCACAGAATATGTCAGCTGGTACCATTAAAACAAAAGACTTTGACTTGCAGTCCATTAGGCTTGTCAGGCACAAATAACCAGACCTACGCTGTAGAGTTCAAACTAGCTATTTTATTGTTTTATGCCTGTTATACAGGGATCTCCCAAGATTGGTAGCTTTCACCTAGGAAAACTAGGTAAGTTTGCACAGGTTGTGTGTCAGATCTTGTCCTCTTGTGTTTATGTAATGAGTCCAGACTAATTCCCTGCTTGAGCCCTCCTGCCGGGGATGGTTGCTCTCTAACAAGGCTGATATCTCCAGAATCTTAGAAATTAAAGCTTAGAGGATGAATAGTTCATCTTAATCAGATTTGAGGCCTGGATCATTTTGTGCAACCCACACGGACAACTGATGTGGAATGGTGAAAATGTAGTTCTGTTCCAGAGTTAAGTTAGTTCATTTACATTTAATGTGAATTCTCTTCAGCTTTGGCTCACAAGTCCATTGCATCAATGTAGGAACAACTTCAGTGTTGTTGGGTCTGCTGCTATGGCATTCATGATTATTTGTGTTTGAGTGACCTGTTCTAACTTCTGTCAAGAACATCAGAATAGGCCCCTGGCAACAATGTGATAACAGCATTATCGTGGAAATTGCTTTCTTTCAATGTGGAGAGGGATTATTCTGGACATGAGCAACCCAGCATCTTTGCACTATAAATTGTAAAAGCAGAGGTATGGCCAAGACTTGGGGGAGTTGTTACCCAAACATCTAGAGTACCCCAGTAGTTTACCCTTGATGCAGGCATTTGAATACACTAGTTTTCAGGCTGCTGAATTTTAATACCACTTGTATGAATGAAAGATACATGCACATACAATATGCTAGTGAAAAAAGCACAGAAAAGGAGGAACAAGAATTGATGCCATCATAATGTACTCCAGCTATTTTGGCTTAGGTAGTTTAAGATTTGGGGTAGATCTGTAGCATTGTAGAATGTTCTGCCAGTATCTCCCATTTGGCAGAACAACTTTGCCAGCAGAAGAGATGATTAAAAGATTGAAGGTGGCTGTTAGAGAAGAATGGACGTTGTCCAACATCTGATCTTCAGCTCTCCCTTTTGGCACCTGTGCAGGTACAGAAAGGCAGGATTTTGCTTAAAGAGGTTGGCCTGCAAACACTGAGGCTCATGCTCCTTTTCTGATCCTGATGAGTGTCCTGCTTCAGGATACTTCTGCAGCTCAGCTCTGCTCTGCTTTTCCAACTTGGAATGCAGACTACCCATCTAAACAATGGGAGTTGCAGTACGCTGTGTATTCAGGGCAGCAGTTTGCAAAAGGCTGACCAGTGATGCAAAGGGGAGCAGAGATCTGAGAGCAGAAAAGGCTCAGGAGCTCCTCCACAAAAGTTTTACCCTGGATCCTGCTGTGGCGAGTAACAGCTCCGTGAATCGTGGGAAAGGAGAGGCAGCAGTGCCATTTGTGATGGAGATTCTTTTTTCCACATTTCTCATCCAAGATCTGTCCTGAAAACATTTTTGTGATACCATTTAACATCTCTTCAAAAAGACCCCTTTCCCTGCACATGTCTGGTGCCAGCAAATCTGGGAAGCTCCTAATTGCTTAGCAAGTATGTCCCCTGTGTATTTGTGGGTAGTCAAAAAAGTGCCTGCTTGTCTGACAGGCCAGTTGCCAAGTGTCCAAAATGTGACTGGGGGGAGGGCAAAGCTGTTGGAATTTTGAATATGGATCATAAGTACTTTTTTTTGGGTCATTGGAACTTTGAATAAGTTGCTAAGCAACCAATTGTAAGTTAAGGATTACTCGTCTTTCAAAATATATGTCTGTGCCATTACTGTGGATATTGGAAGAATATGATTGTTGAGTTCTTGCTCTCCTGATGTGTGTTTATTTTATATATATATATGTATATGTATATACTATTATAATAATATAATATAATATATTCATTTTTTCCATACATACAGTAGTAATTTTTTAACCAATGTGCTGTCTGAGTTTACATGCTAATACTTAATTCCTAATCCTTCCTTCTTTCTTCCAGCCAATGGTAAAATAAGTCCCAGGTTTGGTAATAGTCTGTTTCTATTTTTTCTTTCAGTCTCAGTCAATCTGTCCATCTCTGCTCACTCTAGTATTTTTTTAATTATTTCATCTGATGGTATTCCTTCATTTTTCCAGTGTTGCGCAAATATAATTCTTGCCGCTGTTATGACATGCAAAGTCAAGTATAAGCTTTGTTTATTAGTCTTTTCTGGCATTATACCTAATAAAAAAAGTTCAGGTTTAAAATCAGCATGTTCTCCTAATATCTTTTCTAGCCAAGTATGTATCTTTTTCCAATAATTCTTTATCACATGTCCACCAAACATGATAATACGTGCCTGATATGTTTACGTCTCCAACATCTATCTAACATATTTTTAAACATTTTTGCTAATCTTGCTGGTGGCAAGTGCCATCTATGAAACATTTTATATAAGTTTTCTTTATAGGAAATTGACATTGTCAATTTATAGTTTCTTTCCCATAAATTTTGCCATTTTACTAATTCTATATTATAACCAAAATTTTTCGCCCATCTTATTTATTTATTTATTTGACTTATATACCGCTTTAAGTGCGAGCACTCTCTAAGCGGTGTACACCAGTAAGCAATGTATATATATATTTACATTGCCCCCAACAATCTGGGTCCTCATTTTACCTACCCCAGAAGGATGGAAGGCTGAGTCAACCTTGAGCCGGTGAGATTTGAACCGCTGACCTGCTGAACACAGTCAGCTAAAGTGGCCTGCAGTACTGCACTCTAACTGCTGCACCACCTTGGCTTATTGTTTCTTTGACTTGTTCACTTTCCATTTCTAAAGTTAATAAGAAATTACACATTTTCTTAATTTTTCATCCGAAGTCAACTGTCTTATAAAACACTTCCTTATAAAATCCATACATTTGAACATCTTTATCATATCTAGTTTGCATTTGTAAATGTGTCCACCATGTTAGGTTGATACCCTGATTTTCCATTTCTTCTTTAGATTTTAAATTTCATCTTCTGATGTGTTTCTTGTTTCCCTTCCTATTTCTGTTGGACCTGCATCAGGAGCTGACTGAGTTATAACTATATCACAGTGGCCCAAATAGCTGGCTGGGCAGATACGTTAGACTGCTTTATTTGCCGCTTAAGGTTCAGGGATCACCAAAGGTAAATGCAACACTTTAAAATAACCCCAACACCCATTGGCTCCAAAAAGCAGACCTGGCAAATGTAGCAAGGTCTTTGGAAGTCAAGAATTTATGTTTATTCAAGCCTGCCTATTCCTGAAATATATGCATGGAACATGAAAAGTTTGGATTCTGTGGTTCCTTACCTTATTTATTTTTTATTAAATTCATTTGCTGCCCATCTCATCACTTTGGGTGGCTTCCTTAATGTTGTCAATGTCTATACTCTTGTTACCTCTAAAAACATTCAGATTATGGAGGAAGATTTTTTCCCCTCATAAATATTAAAGCATACATTGAGCTTAACAAGAGAAAAAGCATGATGAGCAACAATTAGCCCCCAAATAGTTTTTCCATCCACCCACATAATCCTGCTCCCTTCCAAGCAGTTCTAGGTTCCTGACATTAGTCTTACTGGCTGCCAATGCCAGTGGAATGCTGTTCATAAACAAGGGCAGGAAATGCTAGTTAAAGTTTCTGGCTCTTAAAAGAAATGAATATAGCATTACCGAGGCTTTACAAAAATTAAAATTAAAAAAAATCCCTTTTCATCATAGATTACATTAAAAGATTCTGTCTTCAGGAGTTCTGACAGTTCAAAAAATCAAAGCTAGCTTTGAACTTCTGGTGTGCTTGCATGCATACACATATTTTTCCTTTTAAAAATAGTATTTTACACTCTCACACATACTCACCTTACTGCTTTCTTTTTTCCCAAGGAGTTTATTTTTTGTGAAAATGGGAAAATGATCTAAAGCAAGCTGTATGCTTATATGTTGCTCTTAAAACATAACAAGATGTAGACAAACAATGCCTAGTAACTCCAGTGTTTAATTGGCAACAATTGCAGTGACTAAGGGGGGATTTCAATTCTTTGCCTTTGTTATAAAGTATTGATTTTTACCTATGCTGGAATGTTGGGAAATGCTAGGTATATAGATTGTGTGTGTGTGTGTGTGTGTGTGCGTGTGTAAGTGTGTGTGTGCAAGATATTCTTGGATCTAGGCCATAGAAGACACCCGATCTGGTTCATAGTTTAGATAAATATTTGGGAAGCTATTCAATTTGACTGTCTCCAGTACAGACTCTTTATTAAGAACAAAAATACGATTTTTGGCAAGAATACACTTTGATGTGTATAAAAAAAAGAAAAGAATAAAACACCAAGAATAAGAAGTCTGAAGAAGTGTGGGTGGCATAAACTTCAGAAATCTTTGAACCATGCAGAGACACTCACTCACCTTTTTTGTTCTCAAAAAGCAACAACTGGTTCTTGCGAGTTTGTAGTAGAGTTCATTAGCAGCTGAATCTAGAGGTCCAATCCATGGTATATGGGCCAATATAATGCTTTGGATTATACATACCAAGCCCACAATTGTTTTACCCATGGTTTGTTGTACAAGTCTCAATGGCTGGATTCACATATAATACTGCACAACTGTAATGTATGGTTTATATAAAGATGGGCTCACACAAACTGTAAGCCAAAATCAGCCAAATTTCTTTATGAATGTATGAACCCAGCTACAATGTGCCTAAATCTAATCAGGGTAACAGCTTTCTCCCACATAGAAGCTAGGGATCATGCTTCCACCACCGCCATTTTTTCTTCCTTTTTTGTTTCATGGATCACTCACTCTCATTGGCACGGAATGGAGGATGTTACTCTGTATGTGCAGAAACAGCTGGTTAAACTGGCCAACATGGCTGCCTAAAGAGACAGTAGCACTCACAAAAGCAGCCTTATGCTCTCTCTCACACAGACCAGGTGGATATATTTTGGGGGGTGTGCTTTCCAATGGTGCAGGCCATGAGCTGTAGTTTTCCAATGTCTGATCTAAGTGATAGCTATTGGAGACAAAAGGGTGGGTGGTTCAGGATTGAACTATACTTAGAGGAGATCTACTGAAACTGGTGAGGCTGCATTTTGTTACGAAAAGCTTAGATCCTATTGATGTCAATGGATCCCCACTAAGCATGCTGTAATTAAATCTGGATCCAAAGTGGCTGGCTTCCACTTTTGACTTTCCTTGTCAGAAGTTCGCAAAAGGTGATCACATGACCCCAGGACACTGCAACCATCATAAATGAGTCAGTTGCCAAGTGTCTGAATTTTGATCATGTGACCATGGGGATGCTGCAATGGTCATAAGTGTGAAAAACGGTCATACGTCACCTTTCTCAGTGCTGTTGTAACTTTGAATTGTCATTAAATGAACTGTTGTAAGTCGAGGACTACCTGTATTTCCCTAAACCCATTCTCAACACAATACAAAGAGAGGCATTGATTAGTAGCTGTTAGAATTCTACTGCTGCAAAGTTGTTTCTCCCATTGAGAATGGCTGCTAGAACTTCTTCAGAGCATAATACGCTTGTCAAAGTGCTTGTGGAAAGGAAGATTTTAAAAATGGCTCTGCATCCTCAGGGTGGAAGTCTTACCTCCTGTTAGTACTGTCCTGCTGTGAAATTGAACAAGTCCTTTTTCTGAAGATCCTCTGTGCTGTTCCTTCTCTTCCCCGCCCTCTTATTCAATGTTCTTCCACATTTACAGACCCTTTGGAACACCCCCTCCCCATTTGTATTTCTAAGAACTCCCTCACCCAACTGTGGTTTCTTAAGCTGATTCTGTTGCTGGGAATGTTTCACAACTTTGTCTGAAGAGAAACCTTATGGGTATGAACTCCACCCACAGCACACAGTCAGGATGAGGCCATCATCTGCCCTCTACATTCCTCCCAGTAAAAGCCATATAAACCATATAAGGGGTGTGTGTGGAGAGAGTCAATCAGTCTCACAAAGTTTATTGCTAGATGTGGGTGCTTCAGACATTCTGAGAGAGACAAAACACTGTGAAGATGTCTTAAACATGGCTTTTATTAACATTAGTTGGGAAAAGTGCTACCAGGCTCTGATTATTGCAAAAGGCTGACATATTTATGATTGCACCAGTCTTCATGGACCTGAGTCCATTTCATCTAGTGCAAGCTTATGTTATGGTACATTTGTCAAATGCTCCAACAATCCCAGTTTGTTTGCCAAACATGGTATCATAGCTATTATATGGCCATAATAGTAACATGTCACTGTCTCCATAATGTTCTTTGTAAGGCAGAGGTCCCCAACCTTTTGGGCACCAGGGACTGGTTCTGTGGAGAAAGGGTTTTCAATGGACCGGAGAGTGCGCAGTTTTGTGTGCTGCCTGCATCCTACGGATTGGGCTTTGTTTGTGTGGGCCAGTTGCTGGCATGCCGTGGCCCGGTATTAGTCCACAGACCGGGGGTTGGGGACTCCTGTTGTAAGGTATTCCCTATATATTAAAACTCAGATGATCTGCAAAAGATCTCTTTCAGGGCAACCCTTCCCCCAGGGTGGTTGTTATGGGAAAATAGGAGGTGGAAGGAGTATTATGTACTATGTGTCTGCTGCCTTGCGTTATTTATAAAGTAATAAAGGTAGGATAAAAATCCCAAGAAATAAAAACAAATAATATTGTATCTAAACTGTTTTTGCTTGTTTTGTGTCTTCAAGTCAGCACTGACTCCTGGGACATTTTTTCCAAGGAGAAAACCACACAACCCAACACTGGTACAGCAAGCTACTGTATATAAACAGGAAGCAAACCCCACATTCACAAGCACTGATATTACCTACCTAATCAGGTAATGTTTGCAAGCAAACAACCAAGCTCAGAAAGCACCAAGGACTCCATAGTTTGACCCTGAGCTACATATATTATTTTCTATTGGGACAAATAAGGAATAACCAGGAAGAAGATAGCAAGCCCATCTGTCATCCAGCTGTAAAGCCCCTTGGATTGATTACAAGTAATATTGTCAAGAAAATCCCAGTAACAGTGAGGAAACCATGCTATGTATTTCATGCATACACAGAGTGGCAGAGGGCCTCTGCAGGGGAAAAGCCAAGTCTTGTTTTCTGCTAAGCAGAACCTCTCCGAACAACAGGGGCCACCTATCTGTTTTAAAATATTGAAGCAACTCTTATGCCTTCCTCCTTAGAATGGAAAATAAGTTCTGACTCACCAGTAACCTCCTTAAAGACCAGGGAGCAAAGCATGGAAGAAGTGATGAAAGATAGATGAGCTGATGCTTCCTTTTTCAGATCGGCAACCTTCCCTGAAAGCTGATTGTTGCCTAGAAGGGGTAGGAGACTTTTATATGTACTATAAGTTAATCCATGGTGTTAGGAAGGCTTAACTAGGCAATGCCTAAAGGAAGCCCCTGGGTCTTCCCAAATCCTGAATATGTGCTCCCTCTCCCTGGTCACTTGGGAGATGCTTGCCTTAAAGTCCTCCTTACTTCCAACACTGAAGCTTTCTTTCTGTCTGCTACTTTGTGGCCTGGACTGTTTTGAGGAGGATGGGCTCAGATAGGACATCTTGAGTTTTTTGAGACCAGAAATGCTATGAATAGTGGCTACTAATCACAATGGCTCTATATTATCCCTAATGTGAGAGGGTGGAATTCTTTTGACTTATCAGTTGCTGGGAAGAAACCACAAGTAAGAAAAGGGTTTTGTGCTGCTTACTTGCCTGTGGGCTTCTGAGAGGCATTCAGCTGGCTGCTTTGAGGACAGGAGACTGGTTAAGAAAAGGCTTTGGACTTTACTTAGTGAGGACAGCAAAGATACCACATAAATACCAGAAGAGCCACTAGAAATCCAGAAAATATTAGTTTCGAAGACAATCCTTATTGATTTCATAAGAGTTATTACTACTCTGCGGTCACAACTATTGCCTAAGACAAATATATTGCAATCCAGCTGTTTAGGATCTGGAATTTTCCAGGTGTGTTAAATTCCCAGAATCTCATGCCATTGGACAAGGCTGCCTAACCATACTGGATCCCAGCAGGAGGCCCTCTTGGAAATCAATTGGAATCCCTTCAAGTAGACACTTGCAATCAAGTCTGAACATGCTGCCGTTGCACTGCCCAGTCTGAACTATTCATTTAAAAGACCCATTCAGTCCAAAAATATTTATTTAAAATAAATATGCCTAGGAATTGCTCTTTAACCAACATTTTTCCCTTCAGTGTGATAAAGATTTAACACATTTTTAATGAAGTGCAGGGGAAAATATCAAATTAAAATACCACTTTTCATGAATTATATTAAAAATCCATTTATTTTTGTATCTTGTACATATACAAGAAATGCGTCTTACACAGAAATTTTGAAAACAAAAAAGTAAAAACAAATACATATATATTTTCTTACAAAATGTCGGATTTACAAAATGTACATTATGCATTTCTAGCTTGTCTTATGCTCAGTTTAAAAATTCCCAAACAAACCAAAATATCAGAACCAGGAAGATCAGATATTACAAATTAATCAATGGAACATTTTTCTTGCTGTTTACTCCCCCAGTACTATACCTGACATTCTTTTACCCCTTCCTTAATTAATTCTACATTTCTTAATAGTGGTAATATTTTGTAAAGGTGTCCATTCATTAAAAAAGATATCGGTGTGTTCTGGAGAAGGAAGGGGAAATCCAAGAATGGCTTGTTAAAGCCCTGAGTTCTCCAATTAGTCTTTGGGGTAAAATTAAATAGAACCCCCTTATTTTTCCAGAAAGCTAGCTTGAGAAATACAGCATTTCAGAAAGGCTTCTGAAATCAACTTATTTCCAACAGTGGACTCTTTGATGAAATGTTATATATAATGATGTAAAACTTTTAACTTCAGACATATTTAATAGGCTGATCGTTCAAGAAAGGAATGCAGGGAATCTTGAAAGAAAACACACAGTTTATGAACAAGACGCATCAATTCCAGCATTTCCTTAAGCTGAAAAAGCCTCTCCCTATCACTGAATTCCACAGGAGATTTTCTACATAAACCTTCCTAAGGCTGTGTAGCACTTTCAACAGAGTGATTGTGTGCCACCAGGGGCCTAAATGGGTGGCGGAGTCTCAATCCTTGAATCTGAACTGGATGCAGGGTAGAATGGGGGTCTTTTCCTAGGTACATCAACATTGGACTTCAGCCTTAATCAAGGCAACCTTTTGTTGTAGAATTACGGCTCTCTTCCTCAATGCCTTCACCAATGAATAAACTCCCTGAAGTGGTAGCACTTCAAGTCCATGTAAACATCTGCAAGAAACTGGTTCCCCAGTGAAGGCCACAATTAAGAATCTACTGGTTTCAAGGGAATCTAAGAGCATATTGAGGGGAGCACCGAGGTGCCTCCCTGATTATATATACCAGGACTGCAAAATCTCTTCTCCTCCTCCTCAGTTTCTAGGGCCTTCCCTCAGCCCCATTTACAAATCAAAGGGCGATACAGATTATCAGCCAGAGAAACCAACTGCAACCTTGTGAATATAAAAACTTATATGTTTTAAAAGGCTTGTTTGATTATTGGCTGTTTTGTTAGTTGTTTTGAAAAGGGGGGGGGAGGGAGAGAGAGGCAACCTCAGCTTTTCTCCAGTTACACAGGAGACTTTCCTGAGAAGCCTTTCCCTTGTGTTCATAAAGGAAAATAAAGAGCTGTATGACTCGCAGCTCTAGCTGAACCTCAACAAATTCTTTGTTAGTTTCCCCATAAAAACCAAACCCCTGCTTATGCTTTGCTGCAGAGAAACCCACTTTTGTTTCTCTTTTGTCTCCTCTAACAAAAGACAAGAGAGTTAAAGCCATTCTATCAAAAATCAACATGTCACTTCTTTTTCAGACCCATTTCTTTCCTCCTCCCCTCCTTGCTCCCCCCTAAAATCTCAGCAAGACTCTTTTGCCAAAGCCCAAGTCAGCCAGGAAGAAAACTTTGAAAACCGGAATGCAGAATTTTCCCTACAGCCTGGCCAAGCCCAGCACTGCTGATTCAGAAGTTAAGCTCTACTAAGTGTGAGGTAACTTGCTCCCAAGGCAAGTGTGCTTAGCTGGAAACCATTATGCCTTTACTTGGAAGTAAGTCCCATTGAATCCGGTGGAGATTTAACTTCCAAGTAGGCTTGCAATGGATTGCACTGCTACAATATGGAGGAACCTCCACTAAGACTTATTTGGCAATTTCCTTTTTAAAAAGGAATGAACATGCATGTTTAAAAAGGAATGAACATGCATGCGTGCGGGTGCGCGCGTGCACGCACACGCACACACACACACACACACTTTCTCCCTTCTCAGAGCCTTCCTGGGTAACTTTAGAAAAAACTGTAAACTAAGATTCTGATTTGGGGGAGAGGGTCTAACTTGGCAACCTATCATGTGGTAAAAAGATAGCTTGCTTTCCTTTCTTTTTGTCCCAAACTTCTATTCTTGGCACTATGCCAGCATACTCTAAACAGATACGCAGAACCATTTAGAAGGCCAGGATTGGGGGGGGGGGAATAAGCAAATTCTCAGAGGATAAGATATGTACTGCCCCAAAGCACAGTCTAGAGATGGTCTCTTGGTGAGAAGTAAAGGTAGTTTGAAGGAACAATGGTCCAAGCCCTTGTTCCTTGCAATACAAGGGGAGAAGAAGCCAAGGGACCCTCATACAGCAGTCTCTCCTTTGCTTCCTGTGCTGAGTCTGTGGTAAAAGCGCCTCCAAGACTGGAGAGTTTTGCCAGTCCAAATCCAGAAGCCAGTTGTGATGCCCACAATCATGGTCATAAGATACTTGATCAAAAAGACAGTGAAGTCAGGGCTCATTGGGGCAAAGTTGGTGGGGCAAGCAATGGCATAGCTTTTGCAGCTCTGCAGGAGCCAGGTTTTCTCCCATGTGTCCCGGAAGGCCTGCTCATAGAAGTAGCAAGCCAACACAATGGTGGCAGGCACTGTGTAGAGGACGCTAAAAATGCCAATCCTCACCATGAGCTTCTCCAGCTTTTCGGTTTTGGTGCCATCATGTTTCATGATGGTCCGTATACGGAAGAGGGACACAAAGCCAGCCAGAAGGAAGGAGGTGCCAATGAAGAGGTAGACAAAGAGTGGGGCCAAGACAAAGCCCCGCAGTGCGTCTACACTGTAGATGCCCACATAACAGACTCCACTGAGCACGTCCCCGTCCACCTGTCCCATGGCTAAGATGGTGATGGTCTTGATGGCAGGCACGGCCCAGGCAGCCAGGTGAAAGTACTGGGAATTGGCCTCAATGGCCTCATGGCCCCACTTCATGCCAGCAGCAAGGAACCAGGTGAGGGAGAGGATCACCCACCAGATGGAACTGGCCATGCCAAAGAAGTAGAGGATCATGAAAAGGATGGTGCACCCTTCTTTCTTGGTGCCCTGCACCACAGTGCGGTAGCCGTCTTCGGAAAAACGTTCCACACAGACCACTTTGTCCTCCAGCAGGAAGCCAGCCACATAGGCCACTGCCACCATGAAATAGCAGCCAGAGAGGAAGATGATGGGTCGCTCAGGGTAGCTGAAGCGTCTCATGTCCACCAGATAGGTCAGGACAGTGAAGAGGGTGGAGGCACAGCATAGGACTGACCAGATGCCTACCAGTAGACGGGCAAAGCGAACCTCCGCCTCCTTGAAGTACATCAGCCCATTGGGGAGTTCTGGTTCACAAGGGGCACCACAGTCCCTCTCACCCAAAAAGCGGTAGCCCAGGTACGGGGGTACTTTGAGCTGCCGTGGGCAGGAGAAGCCAGAGCCGGTGGGACGCAGGGGGTGAGAGGGGGTATCGGGCAGATACGGGGTGGGATAGACGGTGGCACTTCCGGGGCCCCCTCCGCCCGCTCCCGAAGTGTCCGAAGTATTCTGCCCCACGCAGATCTCACCTGCGCCGTGGACGGGGAAGTTTTCGCAGCGGAGCCGCTCGGGCCATTGGAAGCCAAACTTGTTCATCAGGGCCTCGCAGCCTTGGCGCGCCCGCTCGCACAGGGATCGGCAGGGCGGGATGGCCTGTTCCAAGACGGTGCAGACGGGCGCGTACATGGAGCACAGAAAGAAGCGCAGCTCCGGCGAGCACTGCACTTTCACCAGCGGGTAGAACTGATGGACTTCCAGCCCGGCGTCCTCCTGGTTGGTGTGGCCCAGGAGGTTGGGCAGAATGGTCTGGTTGTAGGCGATGTCCGTGCAGAGAGGGATCGAAATGGGCTGACAGAAGCCGTGGTCCGGGACAGAAATCCCTTTCTCCCCGTGGTAAGGTTGGGCACCCGAGCCCCAGGGAATCCCGCCCAGGACGCCCAGGAAGACGGCCAGGCCCAAGGAAGCAGGGCCCCTCCTCGCCGCTCTCGGTCCTCGATCCATGATCCGAGGCGGCAGCAAGGAAAGCAAGGAGCGAGGCCGGCGGGAGGGAGCGGCGGAGGGGGTCTTCACAGCCCAGAGGCGCCGGGGTCTCGAAGCATCGGCGGCGCCCAGCCCAGACCCCCGCGAGGGCTAGCGGCCAGAAGGCTCACGCGGCAGCGGCGGCGGCCCAAGGCTGGCTTCGCTCTTCCAGCAGTCTGCTCTCGGGTGGAGGAGGTGAAAGAGGCGGATCGCTGGCCAAACCGGCTCTCTCGTTGATCGCTCGCCAAGGGCTGGATGATAATTCTTTGCTAGGGTTGCAAGCCAAAATGCTACTCCGATGTATTCTCTTCCACCAAAGAGAGGTCTTGACGGCGCCTCACAGCGCGGTGTTTTTCCTTCGGTCGGCCACGAAGCAGTCTTGGGACGGAGGGGGGCGGGTGGGTGGGACGATCGTGCACAAATTCGACCGCCGTAACTGGCTCCGCTTCCCAGCTGGCTGTTCCACCCCTCAAAGTTCGGGAATTCAAGAATTTGGCTTACTGTTACTCCTCCGTTTCAGCCGCGCGTTCATTTGAGGAGTTCGGTGTGAGGGCTTTTTGTTCAAAAAATCCAATCACACTCCGTCGTCTCCTGTACCAGCAAGGGTGCTAATCCTTTAAACAGAAACACGGGTAGTCCGATATCCCGTTGGCGCCCTTATGCATGCAACAGGACAGACCAGCTGCCGTTGGAACAAGCAACATCCACCCTAAAAGCCAAAAAATAACGAGGGGGAAAAAAAGACGTCTCTGCACTTTGATTATATATATTCGTGTATGTCTGGTATTCCACGGAACTCCACCCCTTCGCCCCATTCACAAACCAAACAGTGGGCGGGCCATAGAACTCAAGATCTACCAATCGCACAATCTGTTGCTTCTGTGCCTCTGTTGAGGATTGGACAGAAAGATAAAAGCTTCCAAAGGGGAGGGGAGGACCGGGGGCGGATTCTGTAATGGTGATTGTTTTTGCAGGAAAGTTGAAAGAAACTTTCAGACTCTTGAATGGAAGAGAGGGACGCGTACACGCGCGGAGAGTGGAGGGGGAGAACCGTGTTAATCTGTGGTAGGCAAAAATCAGAAAGAATCTGGTTAAAAAAAAAAAAAAGACGCCGAGAGAGTGAGAACGAGAGAAACCAGGACGTATCTGGATCTGGATGCCTGGATAGCATATGGCTGTGCTCGAAATTAACTCTTTTGTTTCTATAAAGGAATTTTCCGCATGTGCAACTGCTACGCCCCTCCTGAAATAACCTTTCGAAAGCCCCAAATTCCCATTCATGGTGGCCTGAAAAAATGTCTTTAATCTCAGTTCTTCTACCTCAACTACCGAAGAAGACTCCCCTCCATCATAAACACTTGAGAGACAGCTTTCAAAATAATAGCAAATGCTTTGGAAAAAAATAATAGGGGTTGTGGATGATAAACCTGAAACCACTTAGGTTACAAAAGAAATAGACTTGAGGCTTATCTTTTAAAATGTTTTTGATACCAGACTCAGTCCAGTGCTTTAAAATCACAGTTGCTTACTTTTGAAATGGTGCAAAATTCATAAGGTTGACAGTGCTGTACATGTTGTTTCATCGTGAAAAATTTCCTCCCCAGATATGTGTACGAGAATTTGGTTAAGTATCTTCCATACAGCAGGAAATATTTAAATCCAAATTCACAAACCAAACTGGTTTGTGGCTTGGTTTCAATTTCTTTAGTAGGACACAAAAAAATTAAGGAAATGGTTTGAGGAATGCAGCTTGAATTAGAAAGATCTATTAAAATTCATTTCTGCTGAAAATTTTCTTTTGCTTATAGTAAAGAATATTGAACACTTTGTTTGTCATAATTTAAACCTGCTGGGGATCTGGAGGTGGAAATTACTTGAAAGATAGACTTGATTAAGAACTACCTCCATGGATCTTGGTAAAATATGCAGTGTAAATGTGAGCAAATTGCCTCATAAATATATCTCAGGGATTAATCTTCCAGCGCAAGGATTTAGGTTTGTAGCTTTAGCTTCCCAATCCTATGCACATTTTAGAATAGAATAGAATAACAGAATTGGAAGGGACCTTGGAGGTCATCTAGTCCAACCCCCTGCTCAGGCAGGAAACCCTATACCACTTCAGACAAATGGTTGTCCAGTCTCTTCTTAAGAATCTCCAGTGTTGGAGCACCCATAACTTCTGGAGGCAAGTCGTTCTAGTGATTAATTGTTCTAACTATCAGGAAATTTCTTCTTAGTTCTAGGTTGCTTCTTTCCATCCATTGCTTCTTGTTCTGACTTCAGGTGCTTTGGAGAATAGGTTGACCTCCTGAATTCAGTAGGAAGTTTGTCTAAGTTCAGAGATGTGCCATTAATCTCAGGAATTCTGACACAACCCCCAATAACCAATATACAATGAACTAGCATGGCAGAATTCCAGTCACTCTAACATATTTTTCCTTGTTTCTTACTATCTGGGAAGAAGAAGTATATAGTATTCATTTCTTAAGAGGGAACACCCACATCCCCCTTTATAAAAGATACAGAGAACAAAATCTCTTAAGTGAAGAAGATGAAGTCACTTGAGTCAGTTTTACAAATTTAGGCACAGGGATTGTTTGGGGTTTGTGATAAAGGTACAGGACTAACCTTATTTCTTAGGGCAAAATCGTTCTATAGTCCATAGAATATGTCAGCAGGCAGTGTAATACCAGGTAAGTCTGTTCACTCTGATCATCTTGGTTCTCTTGTAGCATACTCCAGGCTATTTTGTTAAACATGCTCTGCTTCTGGAATATGGAAATAGGGAAGGGAGGGCTATTTATTGCAGCAGTTCTGGAACTGGAAAAAGCCTCAGGTTGCACTTCTACATTAAGTCCTGTTATGAGAATTAAAATGTCAATAGGAAGTTTTCAGGAAGAACTTGTTTGTGAATAAGAAAGACAGAGCATTTTCTGCTGAAGCCTTCAGATTTGGAATTCCCTTGCTTGGAAAGCACAGGAAGCTCTTGAAGTCTTGGAACTCTTTAACAGTTTTATTTAGAGAGATTTTTTTTATTTTCAGTGTTTTAATTTGAAAGCATTGGCAGAATAAAAACAAATCAGAGGGGTACACTGCTAAGGACACAAATTTCAATAGATGATGAGAGCAATGATAGGGATGGTGATTATGGTTGCTGTTTAGACAAATATTCCTGGCTGGATTTGGTACTTTTGACTATGAAGTCTTCCCAAGGACCAAGGATAGTTATATTGTCACAATATACTTTGTTGCAAGGAATGCATTTTTTTTTTTTTTGATAAATTGAGATTGTGCCCATTCCTGTTATATGCAAGTACCTTTCTAGATCTTTTGGAATGACATCAAGGGTACCAGCCACTATTGACATCACAATTACTTTCTTTTTCCACTCTAAAGCGTATTATATTTCCTTCTTTCCTCTTCTGATTTCTTATTGACTGTTCTGCCTTCAGCTGCTGCAGTGTGAATTGTCCTTTTACATTGTTTCTTTTTAATCAGTCATATCTAGCTTATGATGGGCTAAATATTTATCAGTTTGAATTTGGAGGCTCCATAGAGTCTTTTTGTTCTCAACTACTTTTTTCATTTTTGTGATTCTGACATTTTCTTGTTACTAGTAACTGGTGCTTTTTAAAAGATTCTAATGAACCAAATAGCCATTTTATTATGTCCTTCAAAAATTCTGTCTGCACAATTTTCTTACAATCACATACAAGGTATTCAGCAATCTCCTGTTATTTGCATAAAAGTCTCATTTTATTGTCCTCATTAGACTTCTCCTCCTCCTTCATGTTTAATAGCATCTATGAAACAAATTCTCATCTAAAAGTAATAGAGTTATACAAATAATTGCAGTCTTACACCTACACAATTCTATTTTTCGCATATAATCAGGTGTCATGTTGCAATATATTTTTAATGGCAGGATTTGACTTGCTTTTAGTTTGATTTTGGAGAGAAAGCAGTGTTGTCTTTTATTTGTAATTGCAAAATGGTGAAGCTAAAGCTTTGTGGTTAAAAATAGTTTTATAACCACATATAGCTTAGTCATATGAAACTATTTTAGAAGGGTTACTTTAGTAACATATCAATAGTGGGGTCTTCAGTAGGAACCATTGTGTTTAACATTACAAAATCCAAGGTAGTATTTGTTTTAGCTTAAACAGGATTGAGAGTGTTTGTCATCCATATTCAATTGTCTGTACAGAATGCCTGTCTTTAGCACAGATTTATATTTCTCCTAAAACATTTAAATACTTCTAATATTTAATTTTTGCTTTTAAAGGAAATCTTGATCTCTTTTGTTTACTTGAAGGTTCAATAGTTCCACAATCATATAAAGTTTTCATTTAGCTCAATAATTGTTAGAAAACATCTGGTTTGATTTGAATATCCTGCACAAAAATAGCCATGTTAATCTCTCGCAGCAAAACCAGCAGAACCTGAAAGACTAATTAAATTAATTGCAACATATGTTTTCGTTGATAAACCTCTAATGAAGTGAACTGTAATCCATGACAGTTTAGGTCATAAAAATAATTGGCAGTCTTTAGGGTGCCACAGAACTGTTGTTTTGGAACATTCTTATTTTAATTAGCTGCAATCCAATAAACGCTCATTAAATTCATATACCATTTACACTGTATATTTATTTATCATATCTGTATCCCATTTTTCTCTAGAAATGCAAGGTGGAATCTTCCTTCAGTTTATTCCCACAGAGGTAACTGGGCGAAGTACATTGGAATGAGACATAATAGATGACCCAATGCATTTTCAAAACCAAAGGTGGATTTGAGTCTGATCTCCCAGGTGCAGTCCTTCATCAGATGATGGAATGTTCTCCCCCAGAAGATGTGTGTGGTCTCCAATCTCCCAGTATTTAAGGGGAAAAAAATAAAGTTGCATCACTTTTGCCATTCTTTTAAATTAGAACTGATCTTAACGATACTGGTTTTAATTTTGGTCTCTGTTAGGTTGCTTTGACTAATTTGTTTTAAGTACTGGATTTATTGTTTTTAAGTATCTTGAGTGTTTATATAAGTATCAAATTGGGGACTATAAAAATAAAATAAAAAATGAAATGATATATTAGATGTATTGTGTAATTTACTGTGTACTGCTTTTGTGTACCACTTGGATTGCATAAATCACTTTAAATAAATAAATAGAACCAGTAATACCCTACAACAACTCTGTAAAGTTATTGAAGTAAAAACCCCATGTGAATATGTGAAGCTGAGAAACAGAGTCTTGATGAAAGTTATCTGGTAAGACCATGGCTACAGTGAGATTTGAATTTAAAACTTCCTGCATTCAACCTATCTGTTGTGGAATTTGGAAAAAAAAGAATACTTCAGATTTCGTAATTTGTTGCATTTGTAAGATAACATGATCATTTTTGTATAAAATAAACAACAAATCATTTCTAAATACAATGCATTTTATTCCAATTTCATTTTAAATTGTTTTTGTAGTATTTTATTAATAATTTGTGTTTGGAACTCTGTATGTTGATATGGCCTATGAGCTAATCAATAAATGAAACTGACTAACTAAATACAGTGCACATTTGGAACAGTTAAGTTTACCATAATGATAAAAATATGATCAGGATGCTAGAACAATTTCATTAGGGAAACAGAATGGTCTTCAGTTGTTTTTAATACTAGAATTTGTAAGAAATGCTAATCCTTGTTGCAATTAGGCATCTTGGAAGACTCATTTAAATTCAGAACTGGAGAATTAAAACCTTGAAAGGAGGATTTACAGCTTTATTTTTTTTAAGAGGGTAAAATGTTTTCTCCAAAACTGGTATTTGCAATAATTGGCAGGGAGCATTGTAGTGTACTCTGGTAGGTAGTCTGACACATTGGATGGGCATCAAATCTCTTACAATTCATTTCTTCGATTTGTTAATAT